ACTTTTATTTTAAACTCATTTTTTTTCTTAAATTTCTTCTTTTTATTTTACATGTAAACTTACAAATTTATTTTAAAACTATAAAAGCGAATCAATACTAGATGATAGTATATTAGACTTAGCTTCTGGTTTATCTCATTGCAATAAACTGTTAACTTTGAAAATTGACCTAAGGTGAAAAAATAATTTGTTTTTCTTTTAAATTTCATATTTTATTTTTTTAAATTTGACAAACAAAAATCTAAATAGTCAATAAATAAATTAATAAAATAAACGCAAATAGCTTAAATTATTGATTTATTATATTTTAAATTCTTTTAGGATTGATTACTTAATTAATTCTTTTTTAGTTTATTAATTTTTATATTTTAATTTATTATTTCGGCTATGATTAATTCAATTTAAAATTTTGTTCTCTTTATTTATTTATTTATTTATTCATTTATTTTATAATAAATTTATTTAAATTTTTTTGTTTCAAATAATTAAAAGATGGAATTTTTTAAAAGATCAAGCCTTATCAGATTTGGGTTCTAGTTTGGCTTGTTGCTCTAATCTTTCAAATTTGACCCTCTATCTCTAGTAATAATACTTTATTAACTTTTTTAGCAATTTTTAATTATCAAAAAAATTTAAATTTAAATTAATTTAAAAAATTCTACCTATAATAAAAATAAATATACTGAATATGAGGAAAAATTATAAAATATTTTTATTATCAATTGTATACTTGTTTTTTTTTCTGTTTTTATTATTTTTAATTAATCAATCACTCATTCATTTATTTGCTCTTATCACTAAAATTATTTTTATTTTTAAAAATAAATTTAGATATTTTTTATAAATTTCTATTTTGAATGTTCTATTAACTATTTTAAAATCAACTGATATAAAATTAAAAGGTTGAACTCACAAACTCAATTAGGGGTACAATTACTTTGTTCTAGCTTAGCTAAAAGCCATAATCTAAAAACTCTGACAATTGGAGCCTCGTAAAAAATATTTATTTGCTTTTTATTTATGAAAATATATTTTGGAAAGCAAATTTAAATTAGTAAAAAATCTTGCTAAATTTTTATTCTTTCATATTTTGATTATGACTAATTAATAAAACTTGATTAATTTAACTTTTAATCATGTTTGTTTTTATCTTTAAATTTGCCTTG